ACCAAACGCCTATTATTATTATTATTATTATTATTATTATTATTATTATTATTATTATTATTATCATTATCATTATCATTATTATTATTATTATTATTATTATTATTATTATTATTATTATTGTTATTATTATTATTAGTCCCTTGGGTTCCTAGTGGAACATAGGGCTTCAGTAGCACGCCTCCAGTGACCTCTGTTCTCTGAGATCTTTTGAACCTGGTCCCACGACAGTCCACAACCTCTCATTTCTTCCTCGCACGACCTCCTCCATGTCACCCTCGGACGTCCAACTCGTCGCTTCCCATGGGGATTCCACTCGAGGGCCTGACGCGTGATGTCCTCAGTCGGCCTTCTCAGTGCATGGCCAATCCATCTCCACTTCTTCCTGCATATTTGTTGGGTGATAGGTTCTTGGCTGGTTCGTTCCCAGAGTTCCTTGTTGCTTATTTTTTCTGGCCATCTGATCTTCAGTAGCGAGCGTAAGCGGTTGTTGATGTATGTCTGTAGTTTATTGGAAATCCCTTTCGTGACGCGCCAAGTCTCTGAACCATACAGAAGCACTGGCTTGACGTTGGTGTTGAAAATCCGTATCTTGTTCCGCATGCTGAGTGCAGAAGATCTCCACACTGGTTTCAGGCTAATGAACGCCTGTCTTGCTTTTCCGATTCTGACTTTGACGTCCTCGTCCGTCCCGCCTGTAGTTGAAACAATGCTTCCTAGATAAGTGAAGGAGGTTACTTCCTTTAAGTTTCTCCCGTTGACGGTGATTGGAGTTTGTTGTTGTTGTTGATGGTGGTGGTGCGGTATCTTCATCACTTCTGTCTTCTCTATATTCACCTGAAGTCCCGTCTTAGCTGCCTCTTATGTCAACTTGTTAGTTTTCGCCTGTAGATCTTCAAGTTTGTGTGACATCAGGCACAAGTCATTGGCGAAATCCAGATCTTCTGGGTTCTTTTCCGCAGTCCAGCTAGCGTATCCCCCTCTTCTCGTTCCCCTCTGTTTGCTGCATGATCCAGTCCACCACAATCAGGAATATCATGGGGGATAGTAGGCAACCTTGTTTCACTCCTGTCTTCACTTCAAAGGCATCACTGAGCTTCCCATTGTGCATTTCTTGGCATGTGGCGTCTTCACATAGTTGTTGAATGAGGCGGATAAAGGTTTGCGGTATTCCGTAGTAATGAAGCAGTTTCCAAATTACTTCTCGGTCGACGCTGTCAAAGGCCTTCTCAAAATCGATAAAGTTGAGGTAGAGAGCTGATTGCCATTCTATGCCCTATTCTATGATGATGCGAAGGGTTGCAATTTGGTCTGCACATGATTTGTACTTCCTGAAGCCTGCCTGTTCGGGTCGTAGTTTTGAATCCAGTGCATCTTTAAGCCTCTCTAGGATGATGCGGCTTAATATTTTGCTTGCTGTGGGTGGACAGGAGAGTGATTCCGCGCCAGTTCTTGCAAGCACTGAGGTCTCCCCTCTTCGGCAGTTTGACAAGGTAACCCTTCTTCCAATCGCCAGGTACCTTCTCTTCCTTCCACACCTTCTGCAATAGTGGTGTGAGCATGTCCGCTGTTGTCTCTGCATCTGTTCTCAGTGCTTCTGGCGGTATTCCATCTGGCCCTGCTGCTTTCCCACATTTCAGTAGCTTAATGGCGTTCAGGACTTCCATTTTCGTTGGGGGATTTATGTTCACTTGTAATTCAGCGGCTGCAGGTGGTATTTCTGGACGAAGTGCAGGTGTTGGTGGTGGTCGATTCAAGAGTTTTTTGAAGTGGTCGGCCCATCGTTTCCTCTGTTTCTCTTCTTTCGTAATTAAATTTCCGTCATGATCTTTTATTGGTTTCATGTGTTGATCTCTTCCCTGATAGTAACCTGGTTATTTGATTCAATCTTGTCAGGTCTCTCCTACCTGCAGCCTGTTCTACTTCACTTGCAAGTGTGTCGTGGAAGCATCTTTCGTCTTTCTGTGCACTCTTCTTCACTTCTTTGTCCAGTGTTTTATACTCTGTACTCAGTTCCTCTTCTCGTTGTGCATCCTTGCACTGGTTCATCTTCTGCTTCACCATCCTCCTCTCCCTGCTCTATCAGCTTCCATGTGTCCATCGAGATCCATTCCTTGTCTTCTTTCTTCTTCCTTCCTAATAATGTTGTGCAGGTTTCTTTCCACATAGCTTTCAAAGCCTTCCAGTGTTCTTCCACACAGGTTTCTTCAGGGATGTTCCTCGATATCTCCCATTTTGTCTTGATGGCTGCCTTGAAGATCTCCTTTGTAGTTTCATCCTTCAGTTTCCGAGTGTTGTACTTGAATTGAGGTCTATCACCAGCTTCCTTGAAGGCTTTTAACTTGATTTGTAAGGTTCCTTGCACTAGATAGTGAGTGATGTGAACCTACATCTGCTCCTCTTCTTGACCTTGTGTTAAGTAGACTGCGTCTCCATTTTCTTGAGATTGAGATAAAGTCGATTTGATTTTTAATGTGTCCTGTTGTCTGGTGAAATCCATGTCGCTTTTTGGATATCCTTGTGCTTGAACACACTGCCTCCAATCACCAAATCGTTGAATGCACAGAATTCTGCAAACAATTCTCCATTCTCGTTCATCACCTCACCGAGCGCCTCTCGACCCATGGTTAGTTCTCTTCCCGTGTTGTCCCCTCCCAGTTTGGCATTCACGTCGCCCATTAGAATTTTGATATCGCCAACTGAGGTCTTGTCCAGCGTTGATTGAAGTTGTCTGTAGAAATCCTCCTTTTTCTCTTGCTCTGCATTATTTGTAGGTGCATAACATTGTATGATTGTGACCTTCCTTCCTTCCTTTTGAGTTGAACCCTGCTGTCATGATCCTGGGAGGAGATTGGTTCCCACTGCATGACAGAGAGCCTTCGATGCTCTTGGGGACATCATAATAGCCACTCCAAACTCAGTGTGCTCGTGGTTGGCGTCTGGGTGACAATATCGGAGTAGATTATTGATTCTCCAGTTGACAGTTTGGAGAGTCCACTCCCATTCCATCTGCTTTCGCAAATCCCAAGCACTTCAATGTGATACCTTCTCATCTCCTTTGCAATCTGGGCTGCCTTACTGGGTTCAAACATCGTACGGACATTCCATGTCCCCACGTTTACTTTCGCTTTCATCGAGAGAAGACACATCGGCCAATTGGCTTCCCGAAGGCTTTCACCAACTGGCGTCATTTCGCCTCTCCGATTCCAGCGGGGAATAAGTTTGTTTTCATTTTTTATATTTTGTTTGTGCTTTGAAGTTTCTTTAGTGATTAGATTTGTTTTACGGGGTAGGGTTGCTAGCCCTATGCCCAACCTTTCCTCTTTATTTGGGCTTAGGACCGGCTAGTAATTAGTAAACTAGTTAACCAGGCGAGGTTACCGAACGCCTGGGAGCACTAAAAAGCTGTTTCTTTATATTTTGGGGCTTCTCAGGGATGTCCGTCCATAACCTCATAGGAAATAGAGCATGCGACCGTCAATTTTAGCGGTCTCTCTCTCTCTCTCTCTCTTTAGCTGTTGTGGTGGAGTCTAGTGATGTACATTTTCCTATTTCTGTCTATCCACAGTCAAGTGCGACTATCATTTGGTCCCATCAGCAGCTATCTAATCCCGGTCGACTAAATAAGTCATGACTTGTGATGGAAACCTCAAAATCTCTCGTATTGTCAGTCACTAAGACGCACATATCTGTCTATCAGAAGTAAATTTTAAACGGTCGTGCCATTGGTTTTGTATGTTGGATATGTATATGCTGCATAAAACGTTGTTATTGCTCTGAACACTTTTTTACTTGTCGTTTTAACGCCATTTTTTACAGCATGACTAGTAGTTCGTTTTCTGTCCCCATTTGCAATGTAATTCGCTGATCGGTTAATGCTTACTTTTACTATGTCAGTGTCGGGCGACTTTAAAGATCATTCTAGCAACGATCGAAATAACCAATTAGGTTTCTTCATTTCGGCTGGAAGGGCAGGTTTTCGTAAAATAGAGAAGTGTGATTAGTTATTTCAGTCGTTGCTAGGGTAGTTTAATTGATTGTTAGTCTCAGAGGCATAAACTCTCCCATCCAGGTTTGAAGTGAGTGGCCCTTGCGTACCAAGTTAGCTGTCAGTTAAGCATGCGTATCATATCCGCTTGGAATCTATAACAGTACGTCGGTCATTGTGACCCGACCCACTATGGTGGATGATTTTACTGAAGTGTTTTATTGGATTTTTGCTTGCAAAATTTGGTTATGATAGCTTTAGAAAGCATATATTTGCACATTTATTCAATCTAAAAAAATGCAGACCAGTGGCTATTTGGTTTTCCATCCTACTTTTGTTTCATACGTTAAAAAGAAAAACTTAGTTACAACCACAAACAAACCGACCTGAATAAAGCAACTTCAGGAATTTTAGTTTTTAATCACTTCATGTCTGGGTGCTATAAAAGCCAAACTTGAGTAAAAACAGACACATTTCAGCTTTTTGGCTGGTATTCTTTTATGATGTAGATTTTTTTGGATTCTCGAGCAAAGAAATACATATTGATGTCCTGTAGTGTGTTCTATGTTATGTCTGACTCTGTCGTTAAACTGTATGCTTTGAAAAATGGTTGTTCTGTTCCTGTTGATAGTTGACTAGTCCTAAAAGTCTGTTTTATATTTCCCCCACTTTCCATGGTTAATCAACTTACTTTACAGCACTTCTTTGTCTTTCGGTTCATTTTTGCGTTTTCATCTCACGTGTTCTTCAGTTAATTGTTTAGAATATTTTTGCTCAGCTGTATTAATCCAACCCAGATTTTCCAATGGGAAATCCTTTTGATGAGTTAGTAGGCGTATTTGTATTAACGGTGAAGCAGATGTTTCTTTTTTATAAAGATGAGTATCTTAGGTTACTAAATTTAATTTTACCACAATTTTTACTGAAATGTATAATGCTGTTTATGGGATTCTGTGCTCAATCTTCTAGTAAATAATTTTTGACAATCCTCTTCTCCAAATTTTCTCCCCAGGAAGCAGTAGCAGTTGGTATTGAGGCTGCCTTACAACCAAATGATACCATCATTACTGCTTACCGCTGCCATGGATTCACTATGACTCGGGGTGTTTCTGTGCATCGAATAGTAGCTGAGCTGGCTGGAAAAAAGACTGGATGTACCAAAGGTGTGGGTGGCAGTATGCATCTCTATACCAAAAACTTTTATGGTGGTAATGGAATTGTTGGTGCTCAGGTATATTTATTTTTTTGCCATAAAGTTATCATTATAGCCGTTGACTCACTGAAGAATGCCTCCATTTGAAGCATGTTTTTACATTGTTTTCTTACCATATATCTAAGCCTAATTTCAACTACCTTTTGAAAACGTTTTGCGTATTATGTCATTTAACTCTGATAATTCTTCGCAACCGTGCAAACTAATCACATTTAATTTATGACCTCCAATCCCGAGAGTAACCTAAAATACTAATTTGTGCGATATTATTATTTGTCCCTTGGATTCCTAGTGGAACATAGGGTTTCAGTAGCACGTCTCCAGTGCACTCTGTTCTCTGCAAACTTTCGAACCTGGCTCCACGACTGCCCGGAAGCTCTCATTTCTTCCTGACACGATCTCCTCCATGTCACCCTCGGACGCCCAACTCGTCGTTTCCCATCTGGGTACCACTCGAGGGCCTGACGCGTGATGTCCTCAGTCGGCCTTCTTGGTGTATGCCTGATCCATCTTTACTTTCCTCTTCTGCATATTTGTTGAGTGATAGGTTGTTGGTTGGTTAGTTCCCAGAGTTCCTTGTTACTTATTCTTTCTGGCCATCCATCCGATCTTCAGTATCGAGTGAGTGTAGGCAGTTGTTGATGTATGTCTGTAGTTTGTTGGAAATCCCTTTCGTAACGCGCCAAGTCTCTGAGCTATACAGAAGCACTGACTTGACTGACGTTGCTGTTAAGAATCCGGATCTTGTTCACACTTTATGCTGAGTGCAGTACAGTAGATCTCCACACTGGCTTCAGGCTAATGAACGCCTGTCTTGCTTTTCCGATCCCAACTGGCTTTGACGTCCTCATCTATGCCGCCCGTAGTCGAAACAGTGCTCCCTAGATAGGTGAAAGGGGCTACTTGCTTTACGTTTCTCCCGTTGATGGTGATTGGAACTTGTTGTTGTTGATGGTGTTGGTTGGGTATCTTCATAACATCCGTCTTCTTTACGTTCACTTGAAGTCCCGTCTTCGTTGCCCTGACTCTCCTGTCAACTTGTTATTTTTCACCTGTAGATCTTCCAGTTTGTGTGACATTATACATAAGTCATCGGTGAAATCCAAATCTTCCAGGATCTTTCCCCAGTTAGCGTATCCCCCTCTTCTCGCTCCCCACTGTTTGTTGCATGATCCAGTCCACTACAATCACAAATATCATGGGTAGTAGTAGACAGCCTTGTTTCACTCCTGTCTTCACTACAAAAGCATCACTGAGCTTCCCATTGTGAATTACTTGGTGTGTGCCATCTTCATATAGTTGTTGAATAAGATTGATAAAGGTTTGTGGTATTCCGTAGTGTTGAAGCAGTTGCTAAATTACTTGTCGGTCGACGCTGTCAAAGGCCTTTTCAAAGTCGATGAAGTTGAGGTAGAGGGTTGACTGCCATTCTATACAGTGTTCTATGATGATGTGTAGCATGGTGTTGCAATTTGGTCCGCACATGATTTGTTTATCCTGAAGCCAGCCAGCCTGTTCGGGTCGTAGTTTTGAATCCAGCGCATCCTTTAGTCTCTCCAGTATGATGCGGCATAATATTTTGCTCGGGATGGACAGAGGCATGGTTCCACACCAGTTCTTGCTAAGACTTATGTCTCCCTCCTTCCAATCGAAGGTACCTTTCACTCCTTCCAAATCCTCTGCAACAGTGATGTGAGCGTGTCCGCTGTTTCCTCTGTGTCTGTTTTCAGTGCTTGTTGAGGAATTCCTTCTGGTCCCACTGCTTTCCCTGCTTTCAGAAACTTTATGGCGTTCAGGACTTCGACTTTTGTTGGAGGATTTGTGTTCACTGATAGTTCTGTGACAGGGCTGCTGGTGGTATTTCTGAACGAGTTGCAGGTGGTGATGGTGGTCGATTCAAGCGTTTTTTGAGGTGGTCAGCCCATTGTTTCCTTTGTTTCTCCTCTTTGGTAATTATATTTCCTTCACTATCTTGCATTGGTTTCGTCTGCGTTGATCACTTCCCGGATAGTAACCTGGTAATTTGATATAATCTTGTCAGGTCTCTCCTACCTGCAGCCTGTTCTGCTTCACTTGCAAGTGTCTTTTGTCTTTCTGCGCACTGTTCTTCACTTCTTTGTCCAGTGTTTTGTAGGTTGTGTTGAGTTCCTCTTCTCGTTGTGCATCCCTGCACCGCACTAGTTTACCTTCTGTTTCACCATCCTCCTCTCCTCTATCAGCTTCCATGTGTCCGTCGAGATCCATTTCTTATCTTCTTTCTTCTTCCTTCCTAATATGGTTATGCAGGTTTCTTTCCACATAGCTTTCAAAGAGTTCCAGTGTTCATCCACACAGGTTTCTTCAGGGATGCTGCTCGATATCTCCCATTTTGTCTTGATGGGTGCCGTGAAGATTTTCTTTGTAGATTTGTCCTTGAGTTTCTGTTTTGGGTGTTGAACTTGAACTGTGGTCTATCATCAACTTCTTTGAAGGCTTTCAGCCTGATTTTGAGGGTTGCTTGCACTAGGTAGTGAGTGATGTGAACCTACATCTGCTCCCCTTCCTGATCTTGTGTCCAGTCGGCTGCGTCTCCACTTTCTTGAGATTGAGATGAATTCGATCTGATTTTTAGTGTGTCCTGGTGTCTGGTGAAATCCATGTCGCTTTGTGAATGTCATTGTGTTTGTACACACTGCCTTAAATCACCAAATCGTTGAATGCGCAGAAGTCTGCAAACAGTTCTCCATTCTCATTCTTCATTCCACCAAGTGCTTCTCGACTCATGACAAGTTCTCTTCCTGTGTTGTCTGTACGGAGTTTGGCATTCACGTCGCCCATTAGAATTTTGATGTCGTCATCTGGAGTGGGGTCTTGTCTGTTACTGATTGCCGTTGTCTATAGAATCCCTCCTTCTTCTCTTGATCTGCATCATTTGTAGGTGCGTAGCGTGGGATTGATTGTATGATTGTAACTTTCCTTCCTTTTGATTTGCTGTCATGATACAGCAGGAGGAGATTGGTTCCCACTGCATGAGAGCCTTCGATGCTCTTGGGGAAATCATGATTGCCACTCCAAAACTCAATGTGCTCGTGGTTGTCGTCTGGTTGGCAATACTGGAGTAGATTATTGACTCTCCAGTTAAGAGTTTGGAGAGTCCACTTCCATTCCATCTGTTTTTTTATAGATTCCTAGCACTTCTATGCTATACCTTCTCATCTCCTTTGCAATCTAGATGGCCTTGCTAGGTTCAAACATGATGCGGATATTGCATGTCCCTGCGTTTATTTTCGCTTTGATCGAGAGAAGAAATATCGATCAGTTGGCTTCCTGAAAGCTTTCACCGATCGGCTTCCTTTCGCCACTCCGATTCCAGCGAGGAATAATTTTGTCTTTATTTTTAAAAATATTTTGCTTGTGCTTTGCAGTTTCTTTAGCGGTTGGATTGGTTCTATGGGGTAGGGTTGCTAGCCCTATGCCCAACCTTTCCTCTTTATTTGGGTTTAGGACCGGTTAGTAACTGGTGAAGTAGTCTAGCAGGTGAGGTTAGTTTGTGCGATATTGGCAAGCATTTTGTCCTTCTGGCAAATGCACTCGTTTTGAACTCAGAAAAGTTAGCTGATTGTGGAATACATCAGACTTTTGAGGATGCGGAGATTTATGGCTGCGAGGTAAATTGTGGAAGGTTTCAACCAACAACGGATGTGGGATATTCAGCCTTGTTATCATCATCACTATTATTATTGTTCTTATTGCTGTTACGATTACCATTATCGTTTTCATTACTGCGATTATTATTATTGTTACTCGTATTATCATTATTATTGATGTTATTATCATTGTTGTTGTTACTGTTACTATTATTACCTCTATTATTATTACTATTATTGTCATCATTGTTATTGTTATTATCGTTATTATTATTACCGCCATTATCATTATTATTATTGTTGTTACCACTACCGTCGTTATTACTACTGTTACTATTACTACTACTATTATCGTTATTATTATCATTGGTGACTACACTAGTTCTCTAATTAGAGTAGAAGTTTCAGAAAACCAGTGCTTACATCCAATCATAAAGTCTTTCAAAAAAGTTCTGTAGGCTTTGTTATTTTTTATTTCTACTTCACTAGAAGTTCTGACTAATCATCTGAAAATAAAGCTCACTGTTGCGAAATTAAGATTATTGCATTATATTTCAAGTTGTTATTCATCGTAGACTGACATCAGTTGGAGGAACAAAGGAAACCTGAGAGCACTGGACTGCTGTTTCGTCCTAGTATGGGACTCCTCAGCAGTGCGCACCCACGACCCCACCAGCAGGGTCAACTTATGTCAGTGTACGATAAGTAACAACTTGAAATAATTCCAAATCTCCACAACTCCCTCAAAATTTATTGCATTATATGTAAAATGGAGAGTCCTAAGTATTTTAGCATAAGGCGGTCCAACCAGAATGACAGTAATGTTAGTTAGGGGGAAATGGTTCTCCAGTTTTACCATATGTGTGATGAAATAACTTGCAATTGAGGAAATAACTTTGAGTTGTATGAACTGAAGTGAGTCTTGAGTTTTATCTCCAATATTACTGCATGAAAGAAGTTCAGCCGTTCAAAAGTTATGAGGAAGAGTGATTTTGAGAAGTCGCGCTTTGCCAATTTCCTATGTAATTACATAGGCCTATGCTTTCTATAGTAAATTTTCGACCTATTTTCATTAATAACTTTTGAACGGATAGGTACTTTTCGAAACGGTTTGTTTTATATTTATACGCTCATTGTGATTTATTCAACGGCATATAGCATGTGCTCTGGTACTGGTACGAAAAATTCGCGCACTACGGCTCGTCTTACTCTCCATGTTGTATAGGGAGACTACCCCTAACTTCAGTAGTCTTCCCATTATGGTAGGCCATGGTCAATGATCTTGGCTTTTCAGGAGTGCCCTTGTTACACTACACTACAATTAACTTTCCCTCTGCTGCTAAAAAAAGTTTGATGCTAGGTGTCTGCTGAAATGTTTTCGTTCGTCTTCTATCTTCCTCTGGTATTGTTGTTATCACCAATAATATCTGGATTATAATATCCAGACTGACGTCTTAGACAAAGGATGTTATCAGGATCAATCATGAATAATGAAAAAAGGACTGTGACTGATTTTCCAAATGTTGTGTTAAAAGCAACAATGTTACAAGCTTTTTTCAATGCTACGGACTTTGTAAAATGAATAGTTGATTCGCTTACTGACTATTCCTTCAGTAGTGTTTGTCTTGGTGATTAATAGGGGTATTTCACACTGCGCACGTCGAGAACCGTATAGTTAGTACTTGTCTCTAAATGTGTAACATGGATGGAACATATTATTACCAAACCGTACCTGTCCAATAACTACCTAGTCTTGTAATTCGTCCCACTTACCGGCATATTCTAGTCATTATTAGTTTAAAACGCTAGAACCATAATCATTGAGACTACCTTTATGATAGTATATATATGGTTTGGGTAAAACTGGCAAAAGTGAACCATCACAACGCACAACTGAATGGCTTCAATGAAAATCACAGTCTCTCAGAAGCCACGTAATAAGCGGTTTGACGGGAGATTCAACGCTAAACACGAAAATGTTTAAATAATGCAATGGGAACACCATTTGCAGAATAAGGTGATGTTTTATTTTGAAGGATTTTCATCAGCTGTATCAATAATTGAAAAAGTAAAGATTCACTGTAGAAATTTCAACAAACCTCTCATATAAATCATCATCTGACTACTCCGTGAAATGGAAAACAAATGAACCAAGCGGAAAACGAATGGTGCAGTTAGTGATCACCGATACACATGACCGGAAACAGAAGTATCATTTTAAGACTTATAATCAAAAGCAAACTAGATGTACTTATGACATAACACTTGACAGCATTGGCAACAACAGTTTCAAAGTTGAGAACACCGAAAAAGAATGATCAAAATTTTGATGCTGTTTCAGCTCGTTCGAACCTCCAGCAGGAACGATCCTGCTGTCATTCAGCTGGTCTGTGAATTTGATGGTTAGCCGATCATGTTTTGATTCGTTGGACAGGTCTGCACTCTTGGAAAGGCTCTTGCATACAGAAGTGTCACTGAAAAACTTGTCATCTCGAAAATCATAAACTTCAACACCTCAGATAGAATAAGACGTGTATCCACCTATCTTCATTCCGCCACACCAACACCGGGGGGGGGGCTGGTTTGGGGATCTGACTGATTTCGAACCGTATATCGAATGCCAGTGGGATGAATACCAATCTGGGTTTTCCTTGGCTCCTCCATGGTTTTAATTTGAACGTAAATTTGTGCGTATGCAACGCGTTGGTACGGGCAGTTCTGCTTTACACGGATGGTAGCAACATTTAATTAATTCTGGAGTAAAGTGGCGTGTGTTAGCTAATGAACAAGATCGTTACTTTTTGAGTGGTTATCTTAAAGCACTAGTTCCGGTAGCATTGGCATGTGTTTCACATGTTGTTCCAACCATCTTTACGCCGTTCACTAATTTGACTGAAACTGTTTGAAAGGAGTAGAGAGATAGTCAGTTTGTGGTTGACTCCATTGGGTGGAGGATAGTTGCGTTAGTTTGGAGTCGGTAGACGCCTCATAAGTCGCTGGATGGGGGCCGAAAGATCATGCAACTCGGTGTTTTGAGAAAATAGCCTAGATAGCTCGATGTAACCGCCTTCTTATTTCTTTTATTATTAAGCAGTAAATTAAAAGTAGCGAGTGCTTTGACGGATTTAACTTTGAAACTGCCTTTTCATTAGCCTCCTTGTGTTCTTGTCTCTCTGTATCACGTTTTCTCTTCTGAGTGTCTTATTATTATTTTGTATGTTGCATCTTTTGGTGAGCGTGCTATGCCAAGTTTTAATTTTTAAGTAAACAGATGAAATAATATGGAAGTTTTTTACACGTAGTGTTTCCGTTTCTGAATTGCCTTTAAAAGTTTGACATTGTTCGGTTTCCTGCATATCCAAGTCTCTAATTCCCCTGTTTTGTTTTTGTTATTCAGACCACCGAGGAACCAAGGTTTTTGGTTTCATTTGCAGATGTGGTCTCTAATTACGTTTTCTCACTAGAACATGTTTGTTAGTCTTAGGAGAGAAAGTATCGAAAACGTTTTCGTGCGAACCGATACATATACTTGGAAGTGTTAGTCACCATTTTTATCTGGAATGGTTTGAGCTTCACTGTGATAGTGGTATCACTATATGAATTGTTGCACTCTTTTCTTCTGTTGTACGTCAGCTTGATCTGCTCTTCATAATACTTAGTTCTTTAATGTCACAGAAAGTGAACTGGCACCGTTGTGTACTGTTTCCAAGGAAACTTAATAATAAGCTCATCAGAAGAAATAATTACAAGGTTCTTAATTACAAATAAATGGGATATTGTCATTCTCTCTGACCGACTAACACTGGCAGTAATATTCAATTTATACATCAACTTCATAAAGCAGATCTGCGGAATTCGAATTTGCATGCAAGTGAGAAAACTCTACTAGTGAAACCATATCGATTCACTGTATTCATCAGTCATCATATTGTACCCTGAAGTCATCAGTAAGTGTTAGTTAAAGGAAAGCAAATAACCATTTCGCTTTGTTTTGAATCTATTCATTAACCGCCTTTTTCTTATTTTAAGTTAGTCAAGTGTGCTTTTTCAGTTATCGTCAAACTCTATTCATTCGTTAACAATGTTACTTGACCTCTTAGTTTGTCAAATACTTAGTATAAATGGATAAATACTAGTTATGATGAATATATATATATATATATATATATATATATATATATATATATATATATATATATATATATATTCAACAACTTTCTGCTAACTTGTAGAATTCAAGCAACAATGGCGAGCTGTAAGCGTGGAAGGTGTACATGAGACAAAAATAGAAGAGTATTTGAAACGTAATGGCATCTCTTCAATGTCTGGTGATCGTAAAAACTTTGTAAGTTAGTGGACAGATATTTTTTTTAATCACAAACCATTGTTTTGTCTGTAGAGAAACCGAAAACCTGCTGCTTATTTCACTGTGTTATGGTTGTTCATGTTCGCTTCACGTAAAATAATTTCCCAGCTTATTTCATCACTATTATTCATCATCGGTTAAAGCGTATTACCCACTACTTTCTGGTTTACACGCTTGAAGCTCGTCCAACGTATCTCACCTAATGTGTGGACAGATCCTTTTAATAAATGGTGTTCATGCTGAATATAATATCAACAAATTTGTCCTATTTGTCCTATTACTCTGCTTGTTTATATTTCGATCATTCTTATTTCTTTAACAAAACTAATCTCGCTTTTTTTTGAAGAAGTTTCAACTGACTTGTAAAGTATATCTTCTAAATCGAAGGTATAGAGAGATTTATAAACCAACCTGAAAAATTTATCTCAATATAACTTGTTTTTACTGCTGTTGCACTTTTCCTCCTACTAAATACGAAAAGTTATTGCTACTGCTTATTTGCAGTCGATTTTTGTCTAATTGCTTGCAGGTTCTAATCATTACCTCACCTGTATATATATATAATACTATCTACTTGAGTAAATGGAATTATATTCTACCAGTGCCCAAGTTTTATGCTAATATTAAGGACACAATGACTTTTTCTAAATAAGTGGTTGCATTCTGCCTTAACTTCTCGGTCACCCACACTGTTTCAACGGTGGGAGAATATCTGTTAAGATGTTTCTAGATAACATTATTCAGTGGTTCATAACTTTACCGCTATATGGTCAACAACTGAAAAAACCACATCACTATTTATTCGATATTTCCATGTAACGTTAGCTATGTTTCGGGAATAATAATGGTCTAACAAAGGTAGTATGTATTCACACACTGTAATAGAATTGTACGTTGACTTTAGTTCGGTTCTCTAACTTGTAGAATATTTCATCCCAGTATTTCAGTTGTATTGCTTCTTTGTTTCTAAAGTCAACATCTTGACGTGTTAAATTGCTCAAGGATGTACATATACTTTCACAAAACTTGAACTCTACCTAGCTATTCATTCAGTCGCATAGGTTTGAACTTACTTCATCTGCTGGGATTTGCGCATTCAGCTAGTAGCTTTCAGTCTGATATGTCATGTCTGGTTTCAGGTTGAAAACGCCGGGCCTTATGTTTCCTGTAATAATTATTATTCCATATTTCTTGTATTGTTACTCAGTTTGTTTTCTGGTGACCAGCAACATCTTAAATATGGGGTTGTTCAGTACTCATTAGTTGTTATATTAAATAACTGAGATGCTAGTAGAAAATTTTTCGACTTATACAATGATCTGTAAATAATATTTTTATTCATCTTATTTATTTAAGATGCCCGTACACCGAAAGAAACCAGGTCAAAAACGGACAATAAATCGTCCAGTTCATATAAAGGATAATGAACATGTGAATGGGATTCTAGAAGATTTTTCTAAGAAGATAGCTAAGACTTCTTAGCTTTTTTAGTGATTGCAAATACTTATGTCTACAGTGAATTTATTTGTGTGTTTACTTAATTTTGATTAATCTGTAGTCCTCTTTATGATAGTATTTTTTTTTATCTTTGAGTACAACATTAGAATGGTTACTTCTCAGATGTTCTCTCATAGCTGCATACTCATAAACTTCGCATTATCTTCATGTTATTATAAGTGCACAAAAGCATATATTTTTATTAACGTGTTTTCCTCTATCTACAGAGGTAGTGATGTTCTCACTTCTTTATATATTGAAATGGAATTCCTGCATTAAAGTGTTTTTTTTTAACTCAGCTTTACTTAACATTTTCCACTTTATTTCGACAACCAAACACAGATTCTTTTCAGTGTTATATTGGCTGAAGTTGCTACACTAAAGCATAAGAAAGTGAAGACCTTAAGCAGAAAATCTGTATCAGTACTGACAAAATGTTAAAAACAAGTATATAAGCATGAATGTGAGAATTTAATGTGTGTATTTTACTTCCATGGATTTTAAGCCTTTTAACCTAGCATTCCTGATTGCAGGGTTTTACTACTCACAGAATCCAAGAACACGTAATCTCAAGTTTGACATGTGGTTAACATCGACACTTAGCGTGCATATGTATATATATATATATATATATATATATATATATATATAAAGCTCAGTGCCTAGCCGACTTATATTTGGTTTCTTTGATCATATATACCGGACTTACGCCTTTGATAGGTTTACTTTTGTAGCTTCTGAAAACTGTTTGAACTAGGTGGAATTTCGAAGCGATTTATTTCAGTTATCCCTAGTTTGAATGTCACTTTTGTACCATCAAATAGAATACATTACAAGGTTAAGAGAATCTTCTGTTATCCGTTATATCCATTCAGTATTGGGCACAAATGTCGAAGACACATGCAGCAGTAATGCAAAGGCGAAAGAAGTTCAGTGTTATTATTCAGGGGCGCAATATTATTAAATAAGCAACTAATCACTGAAGTTAGATAAAACTTAATTAAAATCCCAGAATATTGTGATACGTGCAATGTATGAATACTTCCAAAACCTCAGTCCTATGAAACTTCAAGTTACGAAGCAGGTGTTTTTTCCAGATTTATATTAAAGTTTCAAGGTGACACACAGCTATTATTGAGTTTGCATTTTATCTAAATTGTGTAAGTTTGAACTATGCACAAACTTATTATTATTACTAGGCTCAAAGGTATATTGCTTGTTTTCTGAAGCTTTGGCATTTACGCCAGCCGATCCCACTCAATGGAAATAAAACGCGTTTGGAACATATGTACCTCAGGTCTGTTGTCAAAACGATCACATTAAATTCATCCTCATGTTTCTCTCATTTTCAGTGCATCATGAATTTGTGTTTAGTTTCTCAGCTGCCCTCATTTTTTCATGAACGTGGTTGGTTAGGAGAAATCAACAAAGTATAGCCAGGTCGAAATTTCAAACATTGGTATGTAGCAAACTGAAATCAAGATATAAAAATAAGAACGCTAAATATGGTTGGAGTTGAAGCGAACTATTTATTATTATTAGAACAGAAAATTGGTACAATGGTATAAAAAATAAAGCAACACTTTGGAGTGGGGACAAGAACAGAAGTGGGTCAAGAAAAAAGGCAATCCCAAAGGGATACCTAAAGAAGCAGCACTCACTACTCTCGTTCAACTTTTCAGCAATAGAATAAACAGAAAAACTCCAGCATGATTGCCACTGACTTCGGTTCACAACCATGTCTGCCATTGTCTCAAGCCACTGAGTTGCATGATCTTTTGCACACTATCCACGAAACGGTGAAGCATCCAGAGTTGTTAAACCAACGCAGCTATCATTCATCCCATCGCACTACATCAAAGACAGACTAACACTGCTTTTTCCAACTAGTCCCAGGGAAGGTGAAGATTGAATGGTGTGGAAGCTGGTAGGAAGATACTCGTAACACATTTCAAAGATACCAAAGCCAATGATTCAAAATAGCATCATTCAATGAATGGTTATTTCTCGATTGAGCACGAAAACGGGTATTGCTGACATTGTGTTCCCACTGGATGTGAGAAAGCCTTTCCGTTTGAAGTCGTAGTGATGTAGGTGCTTGTGATCAGTCTCAACAAGGTCAATCCTTCCATTCCAGTCATCCGACGCTTAACATGAACTCGACACCAGCAAACTGGACGGGGTTTATCAATCAAATATTCACCCTTCAATAGGTTTCAGAACACAGGGATGCTTACTGGAGCCCGATACTAGCCAAATTGCCTGACCTGAAGATGACGTCGAACTCCATCGACCGAGAGACGCTGTGCCAGTCCCTGTATGCGATAGTAGTACCGAGCGGTTATTTGATGCTAATCAAAGCTCTTTATATTCAAACTCACAGTCACGTTTTGAGTTGTCGTGTGGGGTGACGACACCCAGTGGTATCCACCAAGGATATCTACAGTCGCCGTTTAATTTTGTTATAGTAGTACTGATTGATATTACCTAAGATGTCTCCGACTTTACAGTGTTTGACTTTGATTTTCTCTCTCAATTGAATGAATGATTCTTCTTGTTGGCATTATTTGCCTTTCCAACAGTGTGATTTTATTGCTGAAGTTCACAAAGTAGGTAAATCGCTTGAGTAGGCGGAACGATACTATGATAGTTTTGAAACTAAGTAAGTTTATACAATTGATAAACTCAAACTGCATCACATTTACATACAGACTAGTAAACTTGAAATAACCACAGGTTACATAGTAAACACAGATAAACTCTTCATTTGAATAAAAACAACCAGAAAAATAAATATTTTTCTAACAGTCTTTTGAATGACTCATATCTTATAGAGAAGATAATCTCATAAGGAGGTGTGCAAATTGGAAAAAATTGAATTCGAACTGATTTACCTACACTAAGAATTTTCTCGACATCAGGGATGGATTCAGTTAGATCGTCTAGGTAGATTCCTCCTAGTCCTTTAAGTTCCTGACGACGAAAAAGTTGATAGAGGTCCTTGCGAGTACGAATATTATATCTCGGCCTGAATACAAATTTCGAATCCTCAGTAACGCGGATCTTGGGATTATTCGGGAGAGCCTAAAATTAACATAATTTCAATTAAGTGAAATTACTTCTTCCTCCAGCCACTTTATGGTTGCTGGTGGTGTGTCATGCAGTACGGCTTCCTCTAAGATTTCTTCCACAGATAAAGGATGAGTATCACCTTCCAAATGGCGTTGCTATAAGTTGTTATACTAGGTAACGAGCGACAAACCTTCATATATTTCACGACCCTTGATAATACTGCAAACTTCCCCTGCAACTGAGGTCTCATTTCAAGAGACCGTGATTCGGAAACAGAGGAAACTGAGTTAGGCGCTCGACGAGGCACTGAACTAGGGGTACAATTCCCCTCTGGAAGGGCACAAGAATTAGCTTTCGGTTTCTCAACAACGGAGATCGCCATAGCCCTCTTCAGAAACGCCTCCCTCTCCTTTATAAGACTTTGGTTCATTTTTCAAGGCTACAATAAAGGTGTATTTCACTAATCAGATTCATATTACAGCTATTAAAACGTCGCTAAGCTTTTATTTCAAAAAATACAGCATATCATATCGTTCTTTTTCTTTCTCAAACGAAAACTCTATGACAGATTACAAAATGAACTTTACTTCTCGGTGCTAAAAATACGCCATGAGATATTGGTTACGAGATAGACAAAATAATGGTTCCTTTCTTTGTTTGTTTAAGTTACTCGAGCTTGTGTAGTAAATCAGCCGACTGGCGTCTTCACAAACTAGAATAAATTCGCGGTAAGATGAGTCTGAATACTTTGATGAAGATGATACCAAGTTTTACAAGCTAGACAATCCCACCGAATAAGGAGGACCTGAAAAAAATCCTGATTCAGTCTTTAAGATCAGTGAAACCTGCATCCATTAGCGAATACCATGGAACTGCACCAGTAACTAAAATCAACTCTCCCTGATAAATTCAAACAAATTACAAAAGGAACTGTTTACAGATATTCACTATGCGAAGTATACCACAATACCGAAAGATAAGAATAGTTCTCATAATTTCCAAACCCTGCTTTAAGCATGCCAAATCCACTCAGTTTATCTTTTACTGAACAAGTAAGAGCAAATCATTACCATAGAATAACATAAAAGTGGGTGGTTGTGAAACAACTAGTTAACAGGCAGCAAGGAAGGTTACGAAACAACCATTGATAAAGCATCCAAGCCACTGAAGCAAGTTATGAAGTCAACTCACTATCAGAGACCATTTCTTTTCACTTAGCTAAGCTGAAATAACCTGTAACATTAACAGTAGTCATATTAACAAAAAGTTAGACGATTTGAATGCTAATTTAAGTGAAAATACTCAAACAACCTTACTTCAGAAAGTGTCAGCCAAAAACCATCGCGTAGTAGGTGATACCAGTCAGAGTCAGTCGCGCACTAAAAATACTAAAATCGGATGAGTTAAACAACCTCGTGCAGAAATGCATCGACTCAAGTTACCACACTTTACAGTATTACTCAAAGAGAAAGCGGATACAAAATGAGTAACATTAAAGTAAACGTAGTGCATTGAAAGAATTTGAAAAGTGAAGGTTCAAACTTACGAAGATGCGAAGAGTGAATACATGTGAGCTACTGTAACCAATTTTCAGCCGCCACAAAGAGTCCTCAACCATTCATACCTACTATTTCAAAGACACCAACAAGACAGTCTAAACCTCCTATTATGGCTTAAACTAACAGCCGGAAACTATCGGTAGTACAACCTCTTGGTCTGGACATTCTAGGTCTTCTTCCAACCCAGACCTGCTTCGGCTAACATTACACGTTGAGGTAGGTGGTGGTAGCTCACCATGCACAATATATGCCCAAGCCTTAGTCGGTGAAGATTCAAAATCGAATGACTTGCCTTCCTCGTGTAGTAACCTCTGACTAAACTCCATCGTCGCTCACACGGCGGTTCCACCATAA